ACTTAGTGTCACAAACATACAATATATTCATTTTTTTCATTAATTATCATGTGTGCCTCATATTCCAGTTTTCAATCTTCCATATGTCATGACTATTCTCCGAGAGCTCATAGATATTAAACTATACTTCCCATCACGGTGTTAATCATAACAGTATTATTTACAAAAATAATAAAACAAACATTGTTACCAGCTTTAGTCATACGGTACCTATGTTACATGCATCACTCTCTGCTACCCATAAGGGTAGTAGCAAATTTGGCACATTTTGACCAATGTGCCACAAACATAGCTAAAGCTCAATTTCAACTTCAAATATGCTCATACAATTATGTGCAATCTAAGATCTCTAATCTAAAGATTATCTTGTAGCCAACATACCATCCCACATTGCACCAGCTAGGAATTGCTTGTAGTATATATTAATCTAAAACTCAGAATGCAAAATGCAGAGTTCAAATATAACATATGGCTATTTGGAAATCTTTGTACTGTGTAAAAATAACAAAGAGATTTAAATATTTAAAAGACTAATAGATTTACTGTGGAACAATCTCCTTAACACATAACTTAATGTCTTAAAATGGACACACAATTTGTGTCTGGATGTAAGTTGTACACAAAATAAAGCACAACATTTTGAAGATTCCCTTCAAACAAAGATGCAGTTTTGTCAGCTCATGAAGCAGATCTGGAAATCAAGGCTTCACACTGAAGTAGACTTGTGTAGTGTCTCAGATAGAATGACTTTTCTGCTATTTTCCAGTCTTGTTACATATATTGCCTGATGTTGCAACTTCATTACCATGTATGGAGAATGCTGGGTGTGCATGTTGCTCTCCCTGGTTGTGTCAGTCTGACATTGATCTGCCAGCTCTCTCAACTCTCCTGTCTGTCAAGGAGTGAAAAGCTAACATCCCTTTGGGCTTAGTCCACTTTCTTCCCTTCTTCCCTAAGCTTTGCTGTCTCTCGTCTTAATGGACTGTTATTCCCCTTCCAACAAACAACTAAAGAGCTTAGCTCAGCTCACAGCACTCTTAATATGGACTCAGGCCTGAGCACTCAAACTTTACTTTTAAAATCTGCATACATGAGTCAGATGCCTCTTGAGAACGAATGAGATAGGACCAGACTAAAATTTACAGGCATTGGCTCCAATATTCTATGTTTTTTAAAGAATAGTTGGGGTGGCAAGCCTACGATTGCCACTTCTTCTGTGAATGGCCTGGCCTCTGAGGCATTGCATTCTAATGAGTCAATATGTTTTTGATATCTTTGCTAATTTACACAGACTATTGCCAGCAAACCACAATCATGTCTGCTCAGAAAAGCACAACTTTGCCAGTGTGCAAAGGCAGTGTGGAGAAGGTTTTTTCCAGGACAGGCAATAATAGATCAACCAGCTATGCCATTATGATTGGTCTATTAGAGCCATGGTGGTACAGTGGTTAGAATGCAGTAATACAAGACAAACTCTGCCCACGGCCAGGAGTTTGATCCTGACCGGCTCAAGTTGACTCAGCCTTCCATCCTTCCGAGGTGGGTAAAATGAGGACCCAGATTGTTGGGGGCAATAGGCTGGCTCTGTAAACCGCTTAGAGAGGGCTGTAAAGCACTGGGAAGCAGTATATCAGTCTAAGTGCTATTGCTATCCTGAAACTCAATAATCAGAAGAAGCAAAGCTGTACTTCCATGTATGAACTAGTTAATGGACAACCTCTATTGTCATGCAGGCGCAGCATACTCAAAAAGTGGGTGGAGGAGTACATACTTCCTTTCTATTGCTTTTAAAAAATATTTCATTTCTTAGTTGGAGTGGGACATTTTCTGCATTGGTTCAACATGGTTTTTATGCAGATTATTTGCAGGATATTGTGAAGGTTATTTGCCCCTCCCGAATGCTGAGTGAATGTTGAGTTTTATTATCTAATTTTTACTTTGTGCACATTTCTTTTTTGTTATTGTCCCACACTTCCTTTCCCTTTGTGATTGTAAGCCGCCCTGAGTCCCCTCAGGGAAAAGGGCGGCCTATAAATAAACAAATTCAAATTCAAATTCAAGGTTGTTGAACTATCCCTTTTCTCATTCCTGTTGTCTCTGCCTTAAAAGAGGTACAACTCTGTTCATTATGTACCTGCTTCAGAATTCAACATACAAGTACAAAAGGGGTAGAGTTTCAACATAATCATGCAGTTCTTATTTAATCATTGCTCCCCTGGGACACCCATAGGTGCAGGGGGAATATTTTAAAAATCTCTTCTGGTAACATCTTGAAGGTAATCTGGATGGAACATGGAGAGTGAAGCTTCTCTACCGAGTCTCCCATTACTGCTATCTTATTCCCATTCCACAAAAGAAGCAAGGAAGCAGCTTCAAATATTCAGATGCCGCCTCCTCATTTATGGAATCATGACATAATTTGAATCAAACTGGCCTGCCCTTGAATTTTCAGATATGATTTAATCATGAGCCCTTTGAATCCCTAATATTCAATCTGAATGTAATCAGAGCTGATTTGCACAGGCCTAATAGGAACTTTTACCAGGAATATGGGATTAGCAATTATTGTACTTCCTGGCACATGTGCAGTTGGAAACAAGCCAGTTTTGCTATAATATATGAAAGCTCTCACACTAGTCCCTAAAACATTCTCTTTAATAGCATCTCAGGTGAGCCGAATTTCTTGGCTCCTGCTGATCTTCAGAACCAGGTATTAAAAAGAAGCAACGTTTTGCAGTATATCATCTTTGGAACAACAGGGACTAGTTTCTACCCCCTGGAGCAAGTTGAAAGCAAAATGGAGATCAGCCTATTTCCCCCCCTCCCACTGCAGGAAAATTGACTTTAATGATCTAGACAAGTTGAAAGACTCCTGCTAGTAGGGAGCTGACAGATAAATGTTGAAATTCTGAAGGAAAAAACTGCATCACACAGCAGGACCCACATTTTTCAGAAGTTGCTTTTTTCATTTTTCCCAGCAATTTTACTAGCATATGAAATACTCATATTGGGAAGCGAGTACTTGATACATTTTCTCTTATTGTTGATTAGCTTAGTATGGCTAATACTAATAATCATTAAATGAAAGAACAACCATTGTTTGTTTTTGTTGCGTTCACCTTTGAAGAAAAGTAAGCTTCCTAGAGCGGGGGGGGGGGATGCCCAGAAGCTGACAATGAATATATTAATAATGTGCTGAAGTCTGTGACTTCTTGTTGTTAATGATGAAAAATAACATCAGCCATTAAGATATGGAGACTGGGATGCACAGTGGTGATAAGATAGCCTAAGAATTATGAGTGGGAAGATGTCATTAGCAAATTAGATGGAACTGCAAGGGAGGTTTTAACTGCAGGACTGGGCAATCTGTTAAAACTGGGGGAAGGCTGAAGATTATAATGGGCAATTATCTATAGAGGCAAGTATCAGGATTTTCTGGTTTGGAAGGGATTGAAAAGTCATATTTTTAATAGTTTTAAACCCATGATAAAGCTTACATTATGCTTGCTGTATGCTGTATTCCAACTCAAAATGGTATATAAAATACAAGGCAGAATAAGACTCAAGGGCTATAGGCTGCTCTTGCTTTGTTATAATTATTGCAAAGTGTTAGGAAACCAGGGTTAATGGGTTGTCTTGCAAATCTGCATAAGAAAGGAAATGGGGGCCAAACTTTCTATCCCATAAAGAGAATCAGTTTGATGTAGTGGTTAAGGCACTGGACTAAGAACCCTAGTCCTATCTTAGGCGCAAAATCAGCTGGGTGAACCTGGGCCAGTTACTCTATCTCAACCTAGGAAGGAGGCAATGGCAAAACCACTTCTGAAAGACCTTATTAGTGTTACCTGGAGCCAATATTGACTTGATGGCACAGACATACATACACACATACAAAGCAATGGAATAAAAGGCATAGAGAGGAATAGCTGTCCAAATGTATCGCTATAGGAGCTAAGACATTCAGATTGAATGCATGGAATGAGAAACATAGAGAAACCAGATGCTGAACTGATAAAAAAGATATGCACATTTGGACCTGTGAAATCACTGGTAGAGTGACAACCTAAATATGGCTTTAGGAGTATTACTGACTTGAAGCTAACCAGACTAAAATGAATTGTGCACAGACTAATTTATTGGCTTCTGATGGATGGAGTCTACATTGTGTAACAGGTTCTTGAATCCACTATGTATACTAGTAGATCCTAGTAGAAGGACTTAAGTTGATTAGATCTTGGAAGGGGAGGTAAAACACTGGTGGCTTTGAGATATCTTTGTGGCTTTATCTGTTTCACTCATCTCCCATCAATTTTATCTTTATTATATTTTGTTGTTTGCAAGCCAGATGGACACACTGGTGTCTCAGAAACCATTATAACAAGAAAGAAATAGCTCTAGACACAATCTTAAGCAACTGCATTCTAGGAAGGAAAAGATGGGTGTTCTCCAAAGATGCACCTTTGCTCTTTTACCCCTTTGTAAAATTTGATACAAAAAGCCATGTGTTTTGGCAGCATGGTAGCCTCCTTTTAACAACCATCATCAGACTATGCTGTGGAAAATGGAGCAGAGGCACATTGACAGTCTCAGGCAGCACCCTATGTGGGTACCATATTGTTATAACAACACAACATTGTCACAACAGGACAGCTGGATTTCTTATGACTCAACTTTGGTACAAGTCAAAATTGCAAAATTTCCACTTTTTGATATTGACAGACAGAGGAAAATAGCAAAAAAAAAAAAAAAAGGTCACAAATTGTAGTTTTTGTGCATGACTTTGAAATTCTGCAACTGGTCACATATGCAAGCCAGTTGCCAAGTTCTTGAAATGTGACCATGTAACCATACAGTGGTGTGTATTAATTATAAATTCGAAGACAGATTCTAAAAATTTTGAGTTCATCATAAGTTTGAATGGTTGTTAAGCAACCAAACCTATTAAGCAACCAAGGATTATCTGTACTAGTGCAGTCTATCAATAATTCACCTACAATTACCTTAGTACTCATAATTGCTTTGATGGCTGATTCAAACTCCTCTGAATTGTTATAATCCACTGTCCACACATGAGGTTTTCCAATGAAATCTTCTGCATAGGGATGTTGAGAGGATACCTAAAATGTATACAAGAAATGAATTACTTAGCATTTCCCATATGGCGCTCTGGGATGGGAAACATTTCTGAAAATATGGTAAAGCTTTAGAGTCAGAAGAGCTAGTTATGAGATAAGGGTGGGAATGAGTTCATTTTGGTTTCGTGACTGTTTCTTTTCTTGACTCTGAACTAATTCTTACTCCTCATTCTGCATCAGTGAATTCAGTAAAAAAATGAAATCTCCACAAACATTTATACAAATGTTATAGGAATGTTTCCTACCGATTTCTGGCACATAAATCTTCTGCTGTTTCTATAAAACCAGGGGTGGTAGTTACACAGCCCATAAGCTCTCACCATCATTCATGATGAGTGAGATTTTGGAAAGTTCACAGGCATCTAAAGTGCCCCACTGAGGTTCCAAAAGTATGCATTTCATATGTCTGCATAAGCATTTTCATGGACCGAATCTTCCTTTTACATCAGAGAAACTCTTACAAAATTATTTGAACCATTTATACATTTCTCTAGGTTATTCAAAGTCAAACATGAATTTGGCCCAAATATGATCCAAATCTCTTACTTATGTGTAAATGCATATTTAGATGGACTTTTACTTTGCTTTATGCAAGCAAAAATAACATGACACTTTTTAAAAAATGCATTCATAGTCACAAGAGCACATTTAAGTAATTGGTGATTCAACTTCTTTATCCTGGCCTCTAGAGCAGGCTATGTCTCAAAAGTATTGACACATTTAGTCTGGCTACAAATTACCCCTTTCTGCATCACATATCCAAGTCAACAAGACAGTTCAGGCTCATCAGTTCAGAAATCATAATGCAGTGTGTTATAAAAAAGCAAACAGACACAAAACAAGCTTGGTCGTAACATCATAAAGCAGACTAACCTCCCTTGATGTTGGCTTCCCTCTGAAGAATTCATGATTGAGTGAACTGTGGGGTGGATTGAAACGAGCTTGCAGAAAAACACATCCGTTAGCTATTGCTTCCAAAGGGGCAGGGCCTTCGTAAGGAAAACCAAAGCCAATAAAGAGCTGTGGAAAGCAAATCCAGGCATTTAGCAATCTTTGGGAGATGTAGGCTATTCAAATATATTTATTTTCTCCTTCAGTTCCTTGCCTCAACCAGGGGGAGCACTCTTGTAAAAAAGTTTTGACTGTTCCTCTCTCACCCATTCAGCATAATGGAACTTATGACAAGAAGTCTTTGCTTGAACCTTTCATTGACATGTTTCCTATTGGCTGAGCAGTCTTCCTTTTTTTTTTATACTATAGAACAAGCCATAGAATGTTTTTCCTATCACTGCCTGTAACTATTACCCTGTACTAACTACAGGGTAAAATCTACTTACCTTCACTACCAGATCACAAATGTGAGCACCTGCATGCACCTTCCGCACATGTGCAGACCATCAAAAATGGATGTGATGATGTCTGGTGGGTGAGCGGAGCCCACTACTGAGTGCAGCAGGAAAGGTAAGTAGAACAGTGAGGGGAGCGAATTCAACGTGCCATGCGATTTAGATTAGCCAGAAAGCAGGGAATCCTGCTTTCTGGCTAATATAAATTGTGTGTCACAACTGATCGTCGGAAATACCAGTTCCCCCAAACTGGTAGCATTTTTTACTTGTGGTTCGGGTGAACCGGTAACTTTTCTTTTTACTAGCATTTCACCATCCTGTACTAATTTACACATATTA